TATGTCTTGTTTTTGTGCCACAATGGGCTGACACAGACAATACAATGTCTATGTAGACTATATATGTCTATAGGTTACTGTATGGAGCGTTTGTCTGGTTGGAGGGGCTTACAACAAAGAGGGGAGAGCTGCAGGAGGGGGTATTTTCAAATTTTGCTGTTCTTTTTTTCTTTTGGCCCTTTAATGAAAACTGTCTCCCCCAACCTTAACATCCATATCGCACACTGCGCATGCACACACACACACACACACACACACACACACACACACACACAGACACACACAAATGTTTTTGTATGACAGTAATGTGTCTAATAGAAACAAAATGGATATGTAGTTACATTGGCATGATGGCTATGCAAAAACTAAACTACTGGCAGTCTGAGGGCTTATCAGCAGGCCCACATGGAATCTGTGCCCACAGAATTCTGACAACACCTCTGCAGATTTTTTCCCACATTTCCAATTAACAAAGATGCTGTTTTGTCTGTCACATTACAAGCCTCAGATCATTCCACTGAATTCTTCAGATTTTCATTCCGTATCACTGCTAAGAACTATTAAAATAAATAAATACATAGAGATCTGCAGATTCGATTTGGGTTTGCTTATCAGACGTAAAACCCAATTGTAACCCAGTTCAATTGTAATCTTACAGTTAAAGCCCATTACATTACTGTGTTATAACAGTATGTTCCTGTAAAATTACTGTTTTTAACTGTAACCTTTTTTTTTTTACTGTGATTTAGCATTATACTCCCATAGAATAATTGTATTTCACTGTAATCTGACAGTTCAACTCCATGTTAAATATTTAGCAGTGTATTTCTGTAAAATTACTATATTTACACGCATGAATTTCACAATAAAATTCTGAATATGGCTTAATATCCCAATTGTAGTCCCTAAGATGATAATGATGTCATCTATTGTGAAATAATACAGGTACATATTGTAACTCCCTGAAAATAATTTGCAGTGTGGCCTTCATAATGCTACAGTATGCCTACCCTGTTACTGACTTTGCAGCAGGTTACTGGTTGAGATCTGGAAGGAGGAAAGTGGACAGTGGCTGTGTGTGTGGTTTTGCATGCTGGATTAGCAGAAGAAGCTCCATATCAAAAAGGAGCTTCTTATATTTTCTCTGGGTAACCCCTGGCACGCCCTACACCTATTGGAATTACATTTGACTGATCGGCCTGTCCAAGTCAATTTGTCATTGTGATGCCACACCTTGAGTAAACAAGATCACTGATCTGTGTAAGACAGCCTTGCCTTGTCTAACTAATTTGATTGGCAAAGTAAACCAAAACAAAGAGCCATTTTGCATCTACTTTGTTCACATTTTGTTGTTTGAAAATGATGTGAGGAATACCTTTAGATACCAAGACAAAACATTTTATTTTAAGTAAGTGCCCAAGGGGAAACAATGCACACACACACACACACACACACACACACACACACACCATCATTGGTGGTCACTTGAGGCAAATATGACCGTCCCCCATGATGGGTTGTGTCTTCAGATGGTTGTAGAGGCCGATCCAAGATCCACATACTTTGGCACACTGTGAGCAGGGGAATGTGGTGGTGCTTGTGGCTGAGCCTGTTTTTCTCTGTGTTCTCACTTTATCTCTGCGGCTTGGCAGAGTTCAGCTTTGTGACGTGCAGTAGATGTCTTCCAGGAGTGCCTATCAAGCGCAATGTGATTCCAGTTGCTCGGAATGATGTGGAATTCTTTTAGATTAGTTTCGATAATGCTTTTTTTGCCCACCAGGGGCTCGCAGACACACACACACACACACACACACACACACACACTGGAAAGTGCAAATGTATTCACTTTTACAAGACATCAAATATAAAATCTTATTGTCAAAACAATTATTAGCAGGCTCTACTACAATGCAATTAATACTATACATCCAGCATTCATTATGTAACACTAATAAATACGATTCTATCCTTACAAGAGTGTATAACATAGTGTTATTCTAAGCAGTGCTTTAATAAAATACAGCTTTCAAAATATGACTGTATTAATGATATCTTTGATTTTCCACAAATCAAGCCTGACTAATGTTACAGTAGACTTCAGATCTATCCTTCATACATCTAACAACTAAATCAATTTTTGTGTAACAGCTGGTTTGCCTTTCTAACTGACCCCAGCTGTCTGCAAAGTTTGTCATGTGTTGGTGAAGGAGTGAGATACACCAGAAGCAGTGGATGATACGTTGTAACCATCTGAAAAATAAAACAAAAGTGACAAAGTGATTCAGTCTGTGGCATAATAATATGACAACTAATAGTAAGCTTTGAGTTCAATGATAAGGTCAGCATGTTAACATCTTCTGTTAACATCTTAGTATCACTGTGTTAGTCTAAGATGGATCTCCCCTAGAGTGCCCCAGGAATGTGTCCTAAAACTCGGAAATGTGTGAAATGAGCATTTTAGCACTCCTGTTTCCCTCGTCTTGAAGTCAGTAGGTTTTTTAAATGGGTTTTAGGTTGTTTTTTTTTTAGATTTTTGCTTATTGTTTTGTCATTTCTTTCTTGGAGTATCTTCAAATGCTTCATGTGCCTAAAATCTGTACAACCTGAGCCAAATGGTTATGTAAATCAATAAGCAACTGCTAACTGTGTTAGCTTTTTAATTCTGGCGATTGCATTAAGGCTTCAGTAATCATAAAAGTGGTGTTCATGTGTGAAGATTATCTTGCTGGACAAAATATGTTAGGATCTTAAATGTTTGTTTGCTACAGAGCATATTTTCCACAATAATCCAAAATTCATTGGAAAAATCCCATAGGCTTTTTGGTGAGGGATCCAAGGTGACGCTTACTTTCCTGTTGGCCTCCAGAAAAATGCCATCCCTGGGGTATATAAAGATGGACATCATGACAGCTCCCCAAAAGTGAAGCCAAAACATCATGATCACGCCCTGGTGGCTGACTGCAGTGTAGGTCATGTCCATACAAAGAAATAAGTTGAATTAATTATAATAGTTTTATTTGGGTTATATTTAGATGTAACTGCTAGTGATGGAGGATTTTCAGCCATTTTGCCACTGGGTTGTTTCCACAGCAGTTCTTTCTGCTAAGTGGGGAATATTATGGCTGTTATCTAAAATATGAAATTACAAGTCAATGGTTGACTGGACTATTTTTCCTATTGTGGAGCTAGTAATTGCATTCTGAACAATGTAATGAATAGTGTTTAGCACAATCATAATCTATGTTTAGTGTGCCTGCTAACATTTACTAATTAGGACATTAGCAAGTACTGTACAAAGTGAAAGTGAAAGATGGTGGCACAACATGGAAAACCAGGGGAACACCACCTTACATAACACATTAAGTTACTCTAAGAAACATAAATGTTTTTACCGAAATGTTGTCAATACATGTGACAAATGTTAAGATATTTTATCGTAAAAGTGAAAACTTTGACATACTTAGTGGCATCCAGTAAAAGACAGATGATCGCCAAAGCCAACATGTTCTCACTCCCAACTTGTAAAATATCACTGCTTGGTCAGTAGACTTTCACATTTACATATGACTTGCTAAGTATCCTGGGTGCATCTACTGTTGACGTTTTGGGATGCCGTGTCTACTTACACCTATTACCTGCATTGTGTCTTTTCAAACTACACTTTCAGTTTCACAGACTATTTATCTGCTCTTGAGATAAAATGTCTTTTTCAAAATACAGTTACAATGTTGCTTAAAGACCTCATATTTAAATGTATTTCCTTGTGCAATAAAAACACGTGGTTAGGTTTAGGCAACAAAGGCATTTGTAGGTATGGGTAACAAAAGCAGGTGGTTAGGTTCAGGCAACAAAAGCAGGTGGTTGGGTTCAGGCAACAAAAGTGCGTGGTAAGGTTTAGGCAACAAAAGCATATGGTTAAGTTTAGGCAACTAAGGCGCTTGGTTAAGTATGGGCAACAAAGGTACATGGTTAGGTTCAGGCAACAAAAGCATGTGGTTAGATTTAGGCAACAAAAGCAGTTAGGTGGTTAGGGTTAGAAAGAAAAATCATGGTTTGGAAGCAAACACCTAGCTCCTGGAGGAAAGTCTAGTGTTTTTTGGACCCATCTAATGGTCTCTATGGGCACTTTCCAGCTCCTCAAATTACATTGTGACCTGGTGGCATTTCAAACGGACATCATCTGGCAGCATGATGTTGGAGGGGTTAACAAAGGCCTCTAGTACAAATAATAAAAAATGTTTTTATACCTCTTCCTCTTCTCCAGTTTCGGAAAAAGCCTAATCCACTTGATGATGAGGTTCCAGCACTGGTGCTCTTAAACAAGAATAAAAGCAAAAACATAAATAAGCGCAATATTGGATTCTGCTAACAAAAAAAATGACATGATTTAAAACCCTGTTCTTACCCTTGTCCCAGTTCCGGAACTTTGTGATATTGCTGCTATTTCTGACCGCACCTGAAAAGTTAATTAAAATGAACACACAAAACTCGATCAACTTTGTTCAAGGGGTCAGGAGTTCACATACAGTAGTTCTCTAAACTGCTGTGCAGGATTTTGCATCTGGTAAGCAAATCCAAATGGAATATGCAGATTTTTTTTCATTTTTTTAATTTTTTTTTTACTATTTTCAGCAGTGATACAGAATGTAGAAGGAAGTGGAATGTTTTGAGGCTTGTAATGTGACAGACAAAATAGCATCTTTGTTCATTTGAAATGTCGGAGAAAATCTGCACAGGTGTTGTCGGAATTCTGTGGGCACAGATCCTATGTGGGCCTGCTGATAAGCCCTCAGACTCATAGATATTTCACTTTTCCGCAAGAACCACTGACATTACATCAACAGATACATTTTCTTTTTAAATGCAGTGCAATTTTCAGTCTGAATGTCAGCTTAGTCTGTGCAAGCTTTTACTCAAGATTTAAAATGAAGATATTATCTCTAGATCTCAGTAAAGTCAAAATAGTTGCTGTTATAATGTCCTTAAGTGTGATCTGCTTAATACTCTCTGGAGATTCTCTTTTTGTTTTATATTCAACCCAAGTTAAACCAGGTAACTCCTGTTGAGATCAAACAATAACCACAATAAATTACAGATAAGATATGCAGTAACATGTAAAAATATTACAACACCATGCACGGCCACTGCAATCAATGTCTCATGGTCTCATTGTCATCACATGTGAGAAATCGAATAAACTCCAATCAAGACTATAGGAGAGTTTAACTCACTGCCTAGTTGGGGTTGCTACACCTCGGCGAGGGCAGTGCAGTCACAAGTACCATCCGAATCATTCACTCTTTTGCCCTTTAAAATCAGGCAGAGAGACCAATTTTATTTCATTTTTTTTAAAGGCTATGCCAACTGAGGGGAGCAGAGCACATAAAAGTTAGTTTTTTCCAGCTCAGTCTGTGCAATGGGAATAGCCAGGACTAGATCTTGAGATGTCAGACAACATCTACAGCCAGATCTCTGCTCAATCAAGGTGCAAATGTATGATGGAAGTTTCCCCAGTATGGCTTTACAAATGAACAAATATCAGTGACCAGCCCTGGAATAAAGTGCACAGTAATGAGTGAGGGCTTTTCAATTTGTAACAAATCTCACTACACTATGCTATGCAATATCTAAAATACAGATGCATTTATGTACAACAAATCACCACAATCCAGAACTGGTAAAAACATAGCAGAGACTATTCTTCTTCTGGCCTTAATGGTGAAAACTTGTTTCTGAAATAAAACCCTAACTTCAGCCTCAGCCTTTTAGGAGGATGATCAACCTGAGGTTTAAAAGAAAGGGAGTTATCCAGCCAAATACTGACATATTTGTAAGAGCAGACTACTTCTAACTTCTTTTCCCGTGCAGTAAGAACATCAAGAGTGTTTCCAGGCTTCTTTCTAGCTTTTGAGAAATACATGATCATAGTTTTATCAGCATTTAAAGCCAGTCTGCAGTTTGGCCACAGCCTCCATAATGGGAGACCCAACACAATAAATGACTGTACCATCCACATAAAAATGAAGGCTGGCAGTATCCACATTTTGACATAAACTATTAATATAGATTGAAAATAGCAATGGGCCCAAGACAGAACCCTGGGGTACACCCTTACAAGTATTTAGCCAGTTAGAGGTGAGCTCATCAAATTCATTACTTTATGTCTACTTTTCAGCAGGAAATTGATATAATTAACATCAGCAACGCAATATCAGAAAAATGAAAAATGTGGATTCTAGCTGTGAGTGGATTCTATACTTTTATTAAGTCAGCAGTTGATTAAACTTTTGAATATAGAGACATACATACCTTTTTGTCCAACAGCGTTCCAAACACCAAAATGAAGAATCCCTTCAAAGACAGACAAACAGAGTAGCATCAGTTAGGAGAGCTTCATTGAGTACATTTACAAAATTGAAGTTTTTACCCTTATTTAACAAAAGACAATATTCCTACTAAGCTGTTTACATAGCTAATGAAAAAGAGTGTTCCACTACTACTCCCATTTACTTACAACTGTGCGTACTCAAATTACCATGCTCTAATATGTTGTTTATTGTGTCAAAATATGAAAAAGTAGAACGGCTAGAGCCACTTGATATTTAACTTCTCTGCATTAAAACCAGACTTTTTCAGTTTCTTTCTAGTGGCAGATTTGCTGGACTGTATGAGCTCAGCATCCCTTTCTTCTTAACCACCTTTGTTAAAAGACTGTAGTTGCAATATTGGCGCATATCCAAAAACCTGCTGATATCCTAATCTCTCACAATGTTTAAAAGCTGATGTGTTTCTCCTCCAGATCAGAAATGTGGGCTTTTCTTTTGGGCATTCATCTATACACCAGCCTTGCAAACTGTTGGTGAGTTGGTTTTGTACAACATATCCATGACAATGCTCAGACAGACAAGAGGCCGTGTGAAGCAAACTAAAGTTAAAACCCCAAGAGGTGCACATTCTGAATGTGCTGTATACATGTCAAGATAATGTAATAAAACACCTGAATAATATCAGAATACCCCACTTCTTATATGAAAAATGTTAAATTCAGAAGAAGGCCTGATTAAGAATATTAAAATGGAATATGCTGTTTACATGACCTGCATCAAATTCAGAATATTGTCATATTTGGAATATAGTGGAACATCAGTGTGCATGTAAACATAGCCAGTAACAAAAGGTAAAGTCAGTATTCAAATCCATAGAATAATTTTACCGCAGTATACAGTGATATAGTAATCAGTATTATTAACTACCCTTTTACCTGGAGTGAATTGAAGAATGCAAATGAACCATGGATTCCTTTGTTGTGTGGGTTGGTCATAGTTCCGACTCCCAGACTCCAAGTTAACCCAAAAATTGGTGTAAGGACAGCCAAACTCCTGATAATGACCACCAGAACGTTCCTCTCAGCTGCTTGTGCAGCGTCTCCCACAGCCCTTCTCCTCAACATTTTGTAAATCACCACACATAGTATTATAAGGTTTATCGCCACTATTAACAGTGCAGGGATCACAAAGGCCAGTAGAGCTTTGGAATCGTTGAAGTTGAGCCAGCAACTCAACTGGGTTGGAGTTTCACGGATGTACTCTTTGTTGGGTGCAGTTACAGCTATAGTTATAATTGCAATGATGAGGGGTGCCCCGTAGCCGAGAGAGAAACCAATTGCCAACATAGAATTTTTGGACAACCCTTCGAAGACACTGACTGTGCGGTAGAGCAACAGTAGAGCTGAGGCAAACATCCAGAAGAAGAGGGCTAGGTAGAACAAATGGATGAAAAATGTGGCCGCACTGCATGCTGATCGGTCTTTCTTATCTGCTTCTGAAATGGCTGCTCCAATAATAAACCAAATGTTTGCAATCAGGAGAGACACAGCGATGTTAACGATGGAAACATGGCGTAAGTAAGAGGTGTTGTTCTTTCTTATTTTACTCCATATGACAGCTTCAATTATGAGGCATATAACCAAGGAAGCCATGGATATTCCAACTCCAATGTAGGTAATAAATTCCAACACAGGGTCATTTGGACTGAAGGGTGACATGAGCATAGAGAACGAGGTCAGGTGGTTGCAGTTGCAGGTGACAGTATTGTTGTCGTCTACCAGCTCGCAGCCCTCGTCGTCCCATCCCCCGAGACCATCAAAGAGGCTGAAGTTCCAAAAAACACACTGAGGTTTCTTCAAAGTGTCGTTTAAAATATCAAAAGTGAATGAAACATTATTGACAGTTCCATCAGAGTAAACAAGTACAACTCTCCCATTGATGAAGTTAGAGGTTGAATTGTTTTCATCTCTTGCAGGGAGTACATTTTCCATTGATGCAAATGTTATCACAGTGATGGACTTATTTTCTCCATCAGACTCTGGTATGTCTGTCTCCACGGCTGAATCCAAGATTTCAATATCAGCATTAAAAGTGTCTGTGAATGTGGTTTTGTTTAAGAGAATAAAAGGTGTGTCAATATTAAAGGAGTCATTGGTAAGGGCCTTTGTTATGTCCTCAACAGACTGCAATAATGTTGAGCTGACGCTTCTGGCTGTGGGGCTGCTTTTTTCCGAGATGTTTCTGGTGTCATTGGCGTTTAGAAAGTTCCATGAGTCCCTTGATTCATTTGAGGTGAGGATACCTACAGTTAAAAGGACATCCTATATTGAAGGGAAAGAAGATATTAGATCATGTGAAAGATAGTGTATATTGTTTAAGACAGGTGTAAATCTTAGCAGACTGTAGCCCTGTTTCCACCAAACACTTTCGGTATGGTACCTTTGGAACCTAAAGTAACCCTTCAGACATGGTACCTAGACCCTAGGTCTGTTTAGGGTTTTCACTGCAAACAGTACTCTTAAATGTGGATGAGGTTGTTGCCACTCACTGCTCCGTCCGGCACTCACTGTATTTTCTCTGAACCTCTGACACACAGGGAAGTCTGCACCTCGTTCAACAAAAGAACAGGCTTGACCAAGAGTCTCTCTCGATGGGTAGTGTTGGGCTTTTACTCAAAAAATGTGATATATTACTCATTACTCTTTTCAAAGGTAATAATATTACCTTAGTAATTACTACCTGCCCAAAGTAATTCATTACACTACTCATTATGTTACATTTCCGTTACACCCTATTAAACTAGTAATTGCGTACTTCCACAAAATTCAGATGTGTGCCTCTGTGTGAATATCCAAATGCGGGTTTATTTTATTTTATTTTATTTTATTTTATTTTATTTTATTTTATTTATTTTATTTTATCTTATTTTTACCTGGAGGTCTTTAATTTTCCTAAGGCTCTGCCTGAAAGATGGAGAGTCACTCATGGAGCAACCTTTTCATCCTCAACATATCCAACCACCAGTTACATTACTTCTTTCTAGCTGCAGCTGCCCACAATTAAAATCCAGTTTTGGTTGTTTAGCCAATGTAGGGCTACAGCCAATGTCCGCGAATGAGAAGGGGCACACCTTTGGTGGAGTGGATTTCCTGGAGCTTCACATTGTTGCTCTGTTATTCATAGTAGGTGTTTCAGACCAGAGGTTTGAGGTTGTGTATTTCACAGTGGAAAGAGTTTTTGACTACCCTCAGCAGCAGTGTTTTTATCATCTTTCCTCCCAACAAAATCAAAGTAATGTAAATATGTCAAGCCTCTAAGGTAAGTGTTTTCATCTTCCAAACTGGCTTGATGCTTTCTGACATGCCTGTGCAGCATGGCAATCACAAAAATGAGTCCACTGATGTGTTTCCGTTCAGTAGTGGGGTGATAACAAAAGTATCTTTGTGACGTGTTGGTTGGCTTTGGTGTGACTGTAAAATTATTTCTGAAATTACATTAGTAATTAGTTACGCTACTCATTACTTGAAAAAGTAATATTATTACTGTAATGTGTTACTATAAATGCATTACTGGTCAAACACTGTCGATGGGATATTCAAAAATAGTGGGTTTGTGCATTCAGTCCCTCTCAAACACAGGGGTATAGTGTTCCTATAGCCCACAGGAATGATGCTCTGTAGCGCTTTTTTCTCCAAGTGAGGATTAGAATATATATGCAGTTCACATAATCTGGTCGGAATTAATATATCTTTTTAAACTCTTAAAGATCCACTAATCACTAAAAGTGTATGTCATTGCATACGTCAGCATTGAGCAATCAGAGCTTAACCGCCTGCAGCTTGTTCAGAATGCAGCAGCCCGTCTCCTAACTGGGACAAAGAAACACAAGCACATAACTCCGGTGCTCTCTTCACTTCACCTCTATTTGGTCTTTTACCTTTGTTATATTTCACTGTATAAATGTTTTTTGTGTGTTGTTGATGTTGTTCTTGCTTATTTAACTGTAAAGCACTTTGGTTGGCCGTTGGCTGTTTTAAAGGTGCTATATAAATAAAGCTGACATTGACATTGACATTAAAGAGAGACAATAAAAACTAATGTATGGTCAAAGTTGTCATGTTGAAATATCAGGTGTGTTGATGAATTCACTTCATCAACTCATGAGTAACTTTAAAAGTTTCACCTTAAAAGTTGCCAGCAGACAGTACAGTTAAATATGTTATTTCTGAGTCTACAGCTGCTGCAAGAAGCAGCAAAACATCCTTTCATTTTCTAGTTATAGTTTACTCAAATATGTAAGACCAGCCACTGTATGAAAAGAGATTACATAATCAGCCCTGAGCAAGACTGACTGTCAGCTCTTGACCAATCAACAGACAGCAGCATAGACACCCCAACAGAGGGATGACCAAAAATGGTGCACGGTAGAGAACAGTTCCATTGGTACCATCCACAACTTTTGACAGTGGAAAGCGAAAAAATTGCGAACACAACTGAACTGCACTGAGCTGAACTGGACTGCTTGGTGGAAACGGGCTTAAATCACATACCTCCATTAAAGTTTCATTTATTGGGATAGCAAGTGACGCGTTGGCTACATTGTTGAGTATATCAACAATGGCACTGATGTCTAAAGGAGATGCAACCACTTCGTCGGTGAAATTGACAGTGACATTGCTGAGTTGGTCCAAGAATACTGGTAATGAATTGCTATTCAAGAACTGTGAGATTTAAAACAAACAGACAAAACAAAAGTGTTAGTATCACACACAATCTCAAACATCAAATTAAAGTTACACTGTGTTTTGTGTTTGGATTTCATTGACAACTGGGAGTAGTACTGATCTGGTGCAGTGTGACACAGTAGCCCCTTTTAGATAGGAATTGTGAAAATTTGCAGGAAAGCCCAATCAGTCTTCTTTCAGCATTGGCAGTATAAAAGCAAAATCGGGGAGTGCGGCAAAATGAAGCCTACCTACTTTTGTTTATACAGAATGCAGCTTTTTCAGGGCAATGGGGGGCGTAAGCAAGTAACAAAATGTGAAGATCAGCGTGTGACGTAAACAGTGACGTGGGATGGAAGCCTTATTCTGCTATATCTTTCTGACATCATACGGGTTACTTCAGATAATACACACACCAAATACATGACCAACAAATTCATTATTAAACTAAACTATCTTGCGGTATGATGAAGTAGTTAAATCCATTCATAAATTCATTTGAACTTTTTCATGCACTACAAGATAGTTTAGTTTAAGCTCCACCATTGAGAGATTTTAAGTAAATCTAAGTACACTTTGAAGATGATACTACTATATTTACAGAGGCCCCATGCCTGAGTTTGCTCAATGCCCCCACATCACTAAATCTGCCCATGTCGATAACATCATTTGGTTTTAGAAACAAATGGAGAAGTAGGTAACCTGAGACTGCTCAAGCAGCTCCAGAACCTATCGTAGGATGCAGTTTTTTTGCTTATTCCCCCATGTACCATTTTGCAAACATTCTGCTGTGATGTTCCCCTCCTTCTCTTCCTCCCCTTCTTCTTCTCCACAGGGAATTTTAGCTGTATCACCTCTATTACCAACACCAAATGTTTCATCGTCACAGTGAAAACCTAGAAACAGAGAAAAAGGTTTTGCTCTCAGTACTTACATACTAATTAAATAAGAATGATTTTGACCTGAATGCTCTGTAATGTCTGGATCAATACTTACTTGTGTTTGTGGATAACTGCAGTGTTATAGTTTTTGTAAACCTTTCATGGTTTTTCACTTGACAGGTGAACGTCTTTTCCGGATTGACGCAGTCAGAGGCCGACATTATAAACGGATACCTGATTTCTCTGCCTGTTTCTAAACATACAAAAAAAGCACTCAGGTTGCAAAGACTAGCAACATTCACAAGTAGAATATAATTTATATGTATACACATAATATCAAATCATTGTCTGTGAACTACATTTATACGTAGAATTTTCTCCAAAAGCTGATTTCCTTTTTGGTGCTTGTGTTTCAGGTTTACCTGTATTGGACAATCCTTTAAACTCAACCTCATAAGGGCTGTTGACAGAACACTGCAGGAGCTGTTCCTTTCCAGCCTCACATTGAACAGTTTTTGAGACTGGTTTCACTTCGATCAGGGGTGGGTTGAATGTATTTCTGAGTTTATGTGTCTGTCTGAAAGTTGAGTTGTCTCTTCTTTTCAGCGTACATTCATAACGTCCTGAAATTAAAGGTGATCATCAATTAATGTCAAATCAATGGGAATTGCCACACCAATATTAATATACAGAAACCACCATCAAATTACAAGTAGGGCAATAACCTAAATCAGACATGCAGAGATAGAGATTTTGATATAGATATTTTTGATATAGAACAGACATTTTGTGCTGTAAGCTTTGATTTAGAAGAATTGAATGGTGGATACCTTTATCCAACTGAAATTAAACAGCACAGCTCAAATATCTGCATTGTTAGTCACATGTCTTGTGTTCTCTTTTGGGGGTTAAAAAACAGGAGAAAATTCTATTTTATAATTTTAATATTCATGATTGCATCCACTATTTTGGCATGGATCAATCAGAATATTGAGCCTGTTCCCAGTCTTCATTTATTCATTCATTCATTCATTCATTAAATGCTATATTGTTAGGTATGGGCATGGGTAAAAATAAACTACACATGAGTGGGCAGAGGATGAGAACAAAAATCTATTTTTTTATTTTTGTGAATAAATCAAATGAAAAAGAAATGCAGTAGATGTGCAATGTTTTGACATCTAAATCACTATTATCAAGCCACAGTTCCTTTCCTTTTGAAAGTCAATAACACATGTCGAACCTTTGACCCCATTGTCACATTTGTCAACCACTGACTTAAGCAATGAATCTTTGCAGTTCGAGGATGAGGTGGCAGCCTACATAGAGTTCAGGACACCCAAGGAGGATCCTTTTGAGGTTTTATGGTGGTGGAAGCAGCATGCTAAGATGTTTCCTAACCTGGCAGTGACTGCAAAAAATGTTTTCACCATCCCGACATCGAGTGCAGCTTAATGTGAGGGACTGTAGCCTGTGTATGTTAAATCACAGGTGCGATTATTAACATTTGCAGGTGGGTGCGGCTTTGACTTAGACATAATAACGGGTAACAGGTTGGCTCTTGTGCTGAGCTTTACGGGTATGGGCTGGTGTGGGATTTCAAAAATTGACCCCTGTAGGACTGTGCCCTCTTGCTGTGAGGTGATATTGCTAACCATTGCACCACTGTGCCACTGTTCTCATCCTAAAGTTGTCAAACACTGCCACTTTGTCAAGGATTTTTGCAAACACTGATGCCAAAAGCCAGCTTTCACAGTGGTATGATACACCGCTGGGCTGCATCAGTTTGTAACGTGGCTGAATGAAACCCTTTGCTGCTGGTTGGCTGGACGGCACCAGTCACAGCAGTATGATACCCAGAAGGGCAGAATCAGTTGATTATGTGACTGGACAGCACCTGCTGTGGAGGTATGTAATGTCTCTGGACAGCATCAGTTGCTGGTAGCACAACCGAGAACAAGATGCTTCAGGTTTGTCCTTGTGGCTGGCAGAAAGTAACATCAATAAAAGACCTCAGAACTCATCAAGGAAAGAAGATGTGTGTGGAAAAGAAAGGGTAGAGTAGCCGCATTGATCAGTATTTCCTAAGAAGTCAGTCGGGTCAGTCGGATGAAGTCCAGCAACAGGTTGAAAACCACAGTTTGCAGGATATCAGGAACACTGTCACTGAGGAGGAGGAGGAGGAGGAGGAGGAGGAGGAGGGGGTAGTAAGAGGGGATGCAGGTGACACTGAGATTAACAGGCCAGTCAGAGAGAGAACCATGGAGCAAAAGGTTAGAGTTAGATGGCCTAGGGCAAATGACAGTAAAGAATGGGAGATAGTTAATAGAGATTTGTCAGTAATCTTAAGCAGAGCTTAGAGGAAATGCAAAAGAAAAGTTGGGAGATATAATTTACTCATATGGTGCAGCGAGATTTGGGGTGCATGAGAGAAAGAGGGGTGAGAGATTACAGTCAGGTAAGTCTAGGCGGCAAAGAGAAATAGAGAAGTTAGTCAAGGAAAGGAGACAGTTAAGAAAGCAGTGGAAAAAGGCTACAGAAGAAGAAAGGGATGGAATTAAGGTGTTGCAAGAGGAGTTGAGAAGCAGGCTAGCAGCTCGTAGAATATAAGGACAGCTTTTTTTCAGGGACCCTTTTTAAGTTTGTTAAAGGATTGTTGTGCCAGGAAAAGGGAGGACAGCTTAAAGCAGCATGGCTAGAGGTTGAGGAATATTTGAGAAATACATATTCAGATTTAGAGAAGAATAGGGTAGTAAGACGGATAGAGCATGAGATTGATGTCAGGCCACCTTGGTGGAAGGAAGCTCAGGTTGTGGTCAGGTGTGCAAAGGCTTCTTCAGCTCCAGGGCCCCTACCAGATTTATAAAAGTGCACCTGATATCCTTAAATTTTTGTGTAAACAGCTAAGAATTGTTTGGGAAAAACAAATTATCCCAAGAGCATGGTGTAGGGGGGTGTCCTCATTCCTAAGGCGAAGGAGTCTGTGGACCTTAGCCAGTTCCGGATGATTTCTCTCTTGAATGTAGACGGGAAGATTTTTTTTGCAGAGATTAGCTAGCTACTTAGAAAGGAATAGCTTGATAGATACTATGGTGCAGAAGGCAGGAATACCAGGTTTTTCAGGGTGTTTAGAGCATACCAGCATGATCTGGCACCAGATTCAGGCAGTGAAGATTAACAAAAGGGACCTACATGTAATATTTTTAGATCTTGCAAATGCGTTTGGTTCAGTAACACATAGCCTAATTTGAAGTGTGTTTGACTACTTCAAAATGCCACAGGTAGTTGTTAACTTAGTGAAAGCATATTTGCAGGATATTAGGTTGTGTCTAAGTATGGCAGGTTTCACAACAGGTTGGCAGAGGCTAGAAATAGGTATTATGGCAGGGTGTGCAATTCCACCATTAGCATTTACTATGGCGATGGAAGTAATCATCAGGGCTTCCAAGTGGGTGGTAGGTGGGAAGAGATGGCAGAACGGTGTGCATCTTCCACCAGTAAGGGCTTACATGGATGACATGACACTGGTGACCACAACAATGCCATGTACAAAGAGGCTACTAGAGAAGGTAAATAAGAACCTCAAGTGGGCCAGCATGAAGATCAAGCCTAGTAAGTCTAGAAGCATCACAATACGTAGATGGAAGTTAAGTGATAGGAAGTTTGTCATAAATGATGAGGAAATCCCAACAATTCAGTAAACAGCTTAGGTAGGTGGTACAATGTGGAGTTGAATGATGAGGAACAGGTGGTGAAATTTAGAAAAGATGTGGCTGAAGGATTAGATAGAATAGATAAATCATTCATAGCAAGATCAGCTGTCTAGCTCCTGGGGGAACTCGGAGTGCGGGGACAGAGTTTGAGGAAGACAGTGAAGGAAATGTCAGATGAAGCAGGTAGATCTAGTCAGTGGATTTGGATGAGGAGAAATAATGTCAGTTGGGGGCCAGCAGGGGGACCTACTAAGCAAGGTACATAACTCCTTGAGCCAAACCATTATGTTTTTTCTAAACCTAACCACCTGCTTTTGTTGATATCTAGTCGATGGCTGCAGTGTGTCTTGGAAGCAGACACAGTAGTATACTATACCATAATATGTAGACTCTAAAGTCCACAGACAAAGCAGCAATATGTCACAACATCGGTTGAGAATGTGTTGGAATACCTCTAGTTCTCCATCTATGTAAATGGAGAACTTGCTTCCAGACAGTCAATCTAATCCCCTCATTTTAAACACCATTTGCATAAAGCAGTATTGTCAGTGTTCTATGGGCATAGTCTGCCAGATAGATAGATAGATAGATAGATAGATAGATTCATTGCAGCTGGCTTTCTGAAGTCAGTTTGATGTGTGGGCATAAAGATTTTGGGGGATTTATTGGCATCTAGCAGTAAGAACTGCAGATTGCAACCCGCTGAAACTCCTCCCAATTAGAATTCCCTCAGTGATTATTGTTCAGGAGGTTTATCCAGGAGCTGAATGATCCACAGAGATCTCCTCCTCTCCAAAACAAACTGATTTAAGTCAAAACACTAAAAACAGGTTCACATTACAAATTAGTGTTTCTTCAATGCTGTTTGGCATGTTGGAGGTGGCCATTTAGGCCAGCACCTGCTAATGTGTGCTCTCTTTTTTTGCCTCTGATAACTTAAGATCGAGACATTCAGGAAGTTTTTATTTTAAGACGAATTATCCCCAGAGGTCTCTTCCTAAATGAAGCAAGTAATTTCATTGATTCATTCATTTTCCATATTGCTTATTGTTAAGGGTCCTGTGGGGGCTGGAGCCTATCACACCTGCCATTGGGCAAGAATAGGGTTCACCCTGGACAGGCCGATCGACTTATAAAGGGCTGACACACCTATAGGCAATTTAGAGTCACTAGTTAACCTTGCCGTAAAGCAACAGTGCTAATTACTGCACCACCGTGTTGCCACCAGGTTATTTAAACCCATAAAACACTGAATAATGCAGTTTCACATTTAAAAAAAAATCAGTAAAATCAGTGTTTTTCTGATGCTCTTATCAACAGTGGCTGTTTATTACAGAGGCCAATGCGAAAACTCAAATGTTCCTGTCTGGAGCTATTGTTTGGTTGGTCCATTCTGAGCTACTGTAGAAACATAACAATGTAAAAGTAAAAGTAAAACTTTATTTATATAGCACCTTTTTTAACGCAGGTTACAAAGTGCTTTACATTGACATTGGGACACAAAGAAAAGAGGGCCCCAAGACCATAAAAGACACATTCAAGAACACATACAGACAACACACACATATACGAGCACAGCGAGCATGCAGTCATCATCCAGAGGACACACTTGAATTGATAAGATGTTATGAGTAAGCCATCCTGAAAAAGTAGGTTTCTAGGTGTTTTTTGAACCAGTCAACAGACTCAGCTGATCTAATGGAAGTGGGGAGGTTGTTCCAGAGACTGGGTGCCAGGGCAGCAAAAGCACAGTCACCTTTGGTTTTTAGTTTGGCACGTGGTATGGCCAACAAGTGACCGCTCGGTGGTATATGGGCTGAGTAACTCGGAGATATAGGTGGGAGCTAAACCGTGTAAGGCCTTATAGGTGATTAAAAGAATCTTGAAATGAATCCTGAGCTTAACTGGCA